TACTGCTTGGCATTTATGCCAGAAGCACCAATATGAACAATTCCGAGTGTTTGGCTGTCAATCTGAGGACAGTGCAGAGGATTTGGAAAGAGTTGGATGAGTCTAATGGTGATTACAAAAGTACAGCAGCTTGGAAAACTCACTCTGGTCATTTTGATGAGAAAAGAACTTCTAAATTTGTAGGTGAGGGCCTCAGATTCAATGCGGGGGCCAACATCAAGTTCCTTGAGGAGGTATTGCTGCCCTGAGTAAAGAAGGTGGCTGCTGGAAGACCCTATGTCTGGCAATGGGACTCTGTGCCATGCCACACAAACAGGAGAACCAAGTCATGGCTTCCAGACAATTTCTGTGACCACATCACCCCTTACATCTCGCCACCTAACTCCCCAGACTGCAACTCCCTTGATTTTTTTGTGTGGGATGCAATTGAGCAAAACAAAACTTCTTATAACACCAAAGATGAACTGAAGGCAAGTATTATGGCAGTATTCCCCAACTTAATAAAAGAGACTGTCCAGAAGAGTTGCAGAAGATTCCAAAGTTGTCTGGAGGCTGTGGTTGAAGCCAATGATAATTTTATTGAATAAATTTATTCTTTAATTTTCAAGATATTTTTGTGTAATATTGGTAAAGATATATGTTAAAATGAGATGTCAATACTATTTGTACTTTTTGAGTAATTTAGATGACAATTCATCCATTGCACCTTTTATTCATATATATATATATATATATATATAATATATATATATATATATATATTAAGCTTTTCACCCCAAGCAAGGCAGCAATGCCTCTAGCACGCAAGGGTTACAGAAAGTGGAAGCAAGAGTAAAAAGGCATAAGAGCAAATGATCAAGAGAATGATGGGAAATAGACCAAGGCATCTGGAGATGTCGATTGACATTGCATTTGAATAGTTGGGGATTATCGCTATCAGGAAAGCAAGTAAGAGGAAGGGAGTTCCACAGACAGGAAGTGCAAGACATGAAGCTATTGGAGTAGAAGAGATGGCTACATTTAACCATTTCGACAGTGAAAGGATGAGACTGAGATGCCGACCTAGTAGTATGTTTAAATTCATGCAGTTTGGAACTAGCTATATATATATATATATATATATAATGCAGGAATACTGTATTTGGATGGCAATTTCTCATGGTTATTTGAAATTTAAAAAAAATGAGTAAATAATGAAAATTCTTTTTTAAAAATGTAATGGTGGTGGGGGGGTGTCAAACCATTTTTCTGGTTTCCAGGCACAGCTAGAACATAAATTGTTCAATGGCTTCTGATTTGGTTGGTTGGTTGGGTTTTATGGCATATCAACCACTGTAGGTCTCAATGGCTTCTGAGTACCTTCAGCTTTCATATGCTATTATCAAGGAACTGTTTTTATGGATTAAGAGAAGTGTGTCTGGTTGGAATGAGTGTTGTCTCAAGGACAGAAAGCAGAGACTATATCAGATTATATTATGCTAGTCAGTGTGTTTTCACAATAAAATTACAATGTTTGCAAGAAAATGAAAAATTGACATGAGCTTGTATGTGCAAAATATTATATGCATTTCAGTTTATGATAACTATCCTTATTAAAAATATTAATAACGCATTGCTGGGGTGCATATCAGGTTTTATTATGCAAACAAACTAAGTGCAAACTAAGTCTTATTTCAAAATTAAATCAAAACAGGCCAGAGAAATATTTGATTAACACAATCTCTCAAACCGAATCAATTATTATCTTACCTATTAATATGAGCTCTTTGTCCACTATTTACATTGCTCAGAGTATCATCCTCATATTTGTTGCCATACTTATCATAACGTTTTGGCCATTGTACACTCTGGCCTTCTTCAGGTCCTTGGACTGAACCCATTATTTCACTTGCTGGGGTAGACTGTTCTAGTTCCATGTGCCATGTCTAATGGATGTCAGTTATCTCCTGTTAATTCCCCTCTTCATGTTCTCCACCGCCTTAACCAGATATTGAACTCACACTCTTTGGGTCCTGTCACTGGGTCTAACTAATGCCTTTATCCACTGTACCATGTGTCCTTGTGTATGAATTTCTGGGTATTATAAACCTAATGTCTTTGGCAACCATTTATTACCAGTGCTCATATTGAAATTTTTTGCTGTTATCATTGCATGTTTTTTACCAGAGCTCATGTTGCAATTTTTGTTGTTATTACTGCTTTTCTCTGGCACTCCTTATTACTGGTTCCCAATATTGTATTCATTTCTATGCTTGGTCAGTTCAGGAGATTTTTGTGGCCTAACATATGTGCTGATTCCTTAAGTTTACAAATTTTCCAATGATGTTCTATGTCTATGATTTCAACCTGATCCCTCCAAGGGAGGTCATTTCCCTTTTCTCTCCATATATGGTCAGCCACGCCTGATTTTTCCACTTCCCCATATGTTACAGCTTTTTGGTGTTCTTGAAGCCTTACTTAAGGGGGCGGTCTGTCTCCCCTTTATATTTTTTTCATTAGACACAGCAGGTGGAACTAGAATAGTCTACCCCAGCGAGTGAAATAAAGGGTTCAGTTCGACATTCAACCACCTGAAGAAGGCCAGTGTGTACAATGGCCGAAACGTAATAAATATGGCAACAAAGATGAGGATGATAGTCCGAGCAATGTAAATAATACCTCATCTCAGAAATATAGACAGAGCTCTTTGTCATTCTATCACTTTCATCAGTCTTTCAACCATTTAACTAGCTGTTGAATTTCTATTGTTTCAACATTAACATGTTTTGTTTTTTTTATTTTTTATTTTCTTTTTCCTTACCAGAGCTTCTTTGCTTGAATACTTTCCCTTTTCATAAGTATCCCATCACGGACCATAATTTTTTTGTTAATCTCTAAAAAGGCTGCTTAAAATTGGTATCTTTGAACCCCCCCCTTTTTTTTTTGTTTAGGAGTACAATAGAATGAGTATGATAAGCATCTTATAGAAGCTGTACCACTCAAAACAAAAATAATTTTTTCCAAAACCTTAATTTTCTGTATTTACCTTGAACCAACATCACCCAATCCAAAGGAACCTATAACTTTACTGCTTATAATTCTATCCTAAAGTGTAATTCTACCTTCCCATTTTTGACTATTTTTATGAAGCACCAGCCTCATCCAGCCTTCAAGACGATCCAGTGAATATCTACATTCATCACTAAAAATTACTGTTGAGAAATTACTGTTGTAACCTAGGGAAGGTTACTGAATAGAATAATCACACAAAGGTTGGTAATGAATGATGATACTTAGGACAAGAACAACAGATATAAGATTTGACAGTTGCATGTAGAAGTAATCAACTGCTAGAAGGGAGTCAAGTGAATTCCACAATCAATCTCCAACTGCAGACCAACATACAGTATTTACTATTGTATTTATGTGAATGGGGACATAGCCATTATTGTCCGTATGTATGCTACAACAACTAGTTTTCATGTACTTCTTTGCCAAACTTAGACATTTGTCTTTATAATCTTATATATTTTGGTTACTTTCATCTTTTAAGCCAATGTTCTTCATATACTGCATCTTTTCTCTGTTTACAGCTTCTTCAGATATTTTTTTGCTGTTCATTTTTCTTAATTGATTTTAATTTTTCTCAAATTTCTTTTTCTGACATTATTAAAACCAGTTCTTCTTCTTCTCCTTATTATTGTTATTATGCCAATGTTTTCAGCATTGAATTTCCATCACTCAATAACTTTATCACATTGTTTCTCATGAGAGGTCATATCTTTCTTATCACTCATGGCAATCTTTTTAGTTTCTGAAATTAAAAAAAAATATCAGTAACTTTACTATTACTTAGAATATGGCAAACAATTCTTGAGTTACATAATAAAATTTCCCACCACCAAATAATTTATTGTAATATTTCTAATAAAAACAAGTATTATGAGCTGAAATTCATTTACTATATTTAACATATCAGTATATCCTGAAAATTTGAACAATTATCAGTTGATCAATACTAATTTTGTTGTAAAAACTTTTGATAACCTCATAATAAAACCAGGTACAGTATGTTGCTCTTGTAAACAAAGATAAAAGTAATTAAGCATCAAGAACAGAGACAATTTCTCATGCCTACAAGAATTGTCTTCACAGCTCACCTTAGAATTTTCATATGATCAATTTTAAAATGCCCACATTAAATTATATATTCTAATGTCTCAATATCTTTAACATTTTATTTCGTTAGTTTTGCCCTCCCTACCACTTTATGGCATTATGATTATATGTCATATGTCTCTGCAAAATTAAACACACAATTAGCAAGGGAAAAATATGCATGAGCCCTTTTCATTTAATGTGTTCTCTCTATCTCTACTTGCTGGCTATTTTTAAATTGTCACCAAATATAAGCCTTTTTCTTTTCTTTTTTTTTTGTCATTTCCCTTCAGAATATAGATGATTATGGCTCTCCACTGATTCCTTTACTTTATTATCTGTGAATTGTCATGCATTATTAAAAAAGATAGCAGAGTAGTTCATAGTTTTTTTCTCTTAGACTGGTTCCCACCCAAGGCGAGAGAGCCCAGTCTACTCTGCAATTTAACCCATAACTAGGGGAGAAGAGATAGTCTGTTCCAAGAGTATTACTGAAAACATAAATGCAACAGACAAACCCAGAATTTGAACTCAACTCTCTGATTCCATGTTCCACACAAATATCTGTTATACTACCTGCAGATTAGCTCCATGTTCCTAATTTTAATAAAAATAAAATAATCTGCTACAAAATATAAAGACACTGAAGTTGATGGGAATTTAGAGGGAATATCACTGGTTAGTGTTGGGTGAATGAATTTTGGTACATAAACTCAATATTAGTTTGTTTGTCTGGTGAGGTTTTATTATAACCTTCTATAAACCAAGATTGGGCTACAAGCTGAAAAGTCCAACACTACTAAATTTTGAATTGTCTTTTCAGTAGCCCAGTTTATTTTAACAATAACCCAAAATGTCAGGGCTTACAGCCATATCATGTGGAAACACCAGTTCCCATATGATCACTGAAGTTAAACAATGTCAAGCCTGGTCAGTATCTAGATGGATAACTGCTTGGGAATACCAAGTGCTGTAAGCTTGGATGTGTGTGTGGTGAATTGGATAATGGCTTGGCATTGTTAATTGGAGAGCTGAGTTCCAATTTCATTTGGGTTTGTTATACTCAATTACATGCAAATACCCTTGGAAAAAACATGAATCCACTCTTCTCCCCCAGCTATGGGTTAATTAGTAACACGTGTATCATTAAATTATTAATATCTCAAAAAAAAAAAATCTCTCAGTCTAAAAATGTTTTCTGGCTTTAAATAACCTGCAAAGTGTTGATAAACCATAGAAAACAAATCAATCAGCAATATAAGTCACTTATGAAATTCAAGTTTTTTCGCAATGAGTTTTCAATAATAGTTTAATGTGGTAAGCCAATCTACTCTTGAGACATTCACGGAATCTTCCTTCTGCTCAAAATTATCACATTGAGAGTTAATTTTCTTTTATATAATATAAGATACAATTCTTGCACCTCATTATTTTGATTTATCATTATAATTTTTAAGGAATATGATTTCTAATAGATAATCTCAGATCAACAGATCCACTTGCTTCTACTTAAAGACTGCAATAAACCAAAGTTGTTACAGAATAACGAGAGATATGTTAGGTGATGTTTGCAATTTTTGGTGCTGTAGAAAGAAAATATTCCTGATATGTAAAAGTGACTCTTTTGTATATAATTCTTTTAATTTTAAGCTTTGCTATAACATTTACTTTTACAATGGGAATATTTAAATTTCAGGTAATAACCAAAGTTTATAAAGAGTATTTACATTTGAAGGAAGGAAGAGGAATACATTGAACACAGATTTCCCTTAGTGTTTAATCTCTAGCCAGGTCATTAGTATTGGTTTTCTCTGTGACTACTGATGGGTCTTACCTTCCTCTTCATTGGAAGTCATGTCCTTTCTATTCTGTAAGTACTAGTTGAGAAATCATCTACTCTTTATACTACAGCTTCCAACTTCAGTTAGAGAAATATGCAACAGAAGCACATGTGAAATATTGACATGTCAGGATTTGCTTCCTGTCAAATGAATCTTCTCCTTGCTGTATTAGCTGGTTTTGTTTTCGCCTCCAAAGTCTAGATGGAGGAACAACTCTTCCTTTTTGACCTTTTAAAATAAAGTGTAATCATCAAGAACATATTTTCAAAGATTTCCAAACAAATTATATTATTTCTTTTAGAGGCATGTACTCTGCTTTTAGAAACCTGAATGTATGAGATATGTTCAGAAGTTCTGAGTATCTCAAGAACCAGTGGCCTTGGCCTTGGCCTTAATGTAATCAAAGTAGATTTTACTCTTGCATGCTTGAGGAACTCTCCTATGACAGTTATATATAATAGAGTTTGTGTATTGTTCAACCAATGCATTTATTGTGAATATGTGTCAGTTTTTGCTTAAAACTTAGCAGACATCCAGAGAAAAATAATCAAATGACTTTCAAGAATGATTCACATGAGATTTTAGTACAAACACTTCAAACATGGCTGGCAATCTGTTGAAAATGATTCCCGTTCTGGAAAGCCTTCAACAAACAGAAAACCTGAAAATGTTAAATGCCTGTGAACATGTGAAGCCGCAGATAATTGTCAGTTGAATTAGAAAACAGTTTGTGAATGCTAAAGACAATGCAGGATGTATCCAACTATTTTTCAATCACTCAAATGCTCATTCTACATGTCTTCTAGAGGTGATTTTTGACAAAATATCACATCACTTGGTTCTGTCACTCTCTCCACCATGTTTGATTCTCTATAACTCCTGGATATTTCTAAAGTGAAAATCACCACAGAAAGGAGAAAGATTTCAGACTGTGGGTGAGATTATAAAGAATGTTACAAGGCAGCTGATGGTGAACTCATACTATTTTGAAAAGTGAGAGAGATTCTGGGAAAAGTGTAAGAGAGTCAGCTGAAGAGAATTAAGGTATCATTGTATTAGATATGCGACTTTTTCATTAATATTAAATGGCTAAATGCTTTCCAGACAGACTGTCTGTAGCTGTCATCATTAATCGAAAAGGATTATCAATTTTTATGATATCTTTAATCCCCTCATAGCAGTTAGGTACTCAGCATAGTTTTTTTCTTTTCTTACTGAAATCTTCATTATTTGACTGAAGTATTTATCTTATATTTTTTTTTATTCCATAAGAAAAATGTCTTTACAATTTGATTAACATTGCTATACACCTGTTATATTGTTTGGTTTTGTCTGTTATTTTTTGTTTTTGTTTTTTTTTTTTCATTGAAAATACAATTTCAATATGAGTTTAAAGCATTACATGGTTTCCACTGACAAAATATAAAAATTAGTCTCTTGTGAAATTCTCATTTTCCAAAACCCTACACTTATCTCAAAGGACAAAGTGTTTTAGCATCAGTAATCTTGCTGATTTCAGCATTTTTCTTTTCTTTCTTGAATCTTTACTGATAAGACCACCCAGGTGATCCTCATGTTGGAAGACGCCTTAGGCTTACTTACCTCCCGTAGCTTATCCTGCGAGGCCCGTTACTCATATCCAATCTTGCTTCTGGCTCTTTATTTGATATGTATGAGCAGAGATAAAGTTTAAATACATGAATACTGTGATCCTTTTGTTTGATGCATGGAGTTCTTGTATATTCCAAGGGACCTAATGAGAATTGTGTTTAGACAAGGAAGGCATTCGCTGATAAGGGCTCTCAAGTCTCTCCTCAGATTTTATCTGATATAAATTTATTATTTCTCTCTAAATTTCTAGCATGGGGAGTTATCATTATTTAAATCTGAAATAATATCATCAGCACAACATTTCCACTATTGTTGTACCCTCTGGCTTTCTTTAGTTGTCTTGCATTCCTGGTAACTAGAATAGCCTAGTGGATTGAAGTGTTGGTTCATGAATTTGAGGACAATAATCCCTGAGCCTGGTAGTACAGACTTTGACTCAGTAGAAACAGGATGAGATGTGTCTAGACATGGACAGTGTGGTGCAAGAACAATCTACCCCAGCCCCAAGTTCAAAATTCCCTGAAGGTTACCTAAATTAAAAAACACTTGAAGAAGGCTAGCTGGCACAACACCCAAAACTTTGTGATAGAAACAACAAAGATGAGGACATTAGTCTGAATGTAAATAATGTCAATATGAAATTTGTCACTTGAAACTGCCAAATGAACCAGAACCCTTCTAGATTGAGCTAAATCGATATTGGATGAGTGCAGGTTTAGGGTCTGCTCGGTTACCTATTAACTTTTTTTTTAATCTGCCATGAGGATGATTATTCAGTAACCCATTCTTAATTTCTTTCTTTTGGTTCACCCACAAGGAATGATCAATTCATTTTATTTTCTATCAGTTTACACATTTGTGCATCTCCAAAAAATCTAGCAAAATAGCTAGCTTTTTTTTTTTTTTTTCTTTTCTTAAAATCTAATCAAATAAAGAATGCAGACAGTTTTTGATCAGCTTTTTAAATCTATATTTCTGAATAGGAAAAAAATGTCTAAATCAAATGTAGATAAACATATTCTAATTTCTAACCTTATCAGTTTAATTAATAGTTGTATATCATTTGACTCAAGACTGTGAACATGACCCATACTCCAGACAGTTGTTATTTGATATGTATCTCTTAGTCATTTAGTTTTATGTCTTACCAGCTTTAATATTTCTTGAATGATATATCATTAAAACTCCTTCATATGCAATCACTTTCCCACTTTTTTCTCAACCATCTACTTTTCCTTTTATTTTGCTTGAAGTAATATACACGTTTTCATTTTTATCAATTCTGCTGAAAGGTCAAATGATCACAAAATCTTCCAAAAAAAAAATTTTTTAAAAAAACTGATATTTACAATATCTTAGAATCGGCAAAAAGAATAGTCACCAATGGTTTAAGATCGGCATTTATGGTCAGAAGGATGCATGTGCTTGTCAGTAACTTTAGTCCAAATTATGTTTGTGATCTTTAGATATCTTCATGAGGCTGATTCATTGATAACACTTCCTCTAATATTCAACACACTTTCTGCTGAACTTTGTAACTTGGCACTACCAGACTCCTAACCTTTCCTGTCCAAACATGGAAAGAAATTAATTCTTTGAACTCCCTTAGCTGAGTGCACTTATTTGCACATTTTCCCAGAATGACTGGATGTTGGAAGGTTAACATGTTTTTTTTTTAAGCTTATGAGCTTCTCTTTCTGATAAATTACCTTTAAAAGTATCAATAAAAAAAAAATGTAACGAAGTCTGTATTGGCAGGTCAAGGAGAATAAAACAAATCTGGAGTTGATATTTCTCTTGATGACCAATGTAACCAGTCAAGCATGTTTGGTCAAATTATGCTGACCTGAATGCCTTAACTGCAGCATCTTCTCTAACCTTTAGTCAATCCTGTAAAAAAAAAAAAAAAAACAGTTTTAATATTCATTTCAATATCACTTGGTTATAAAAACAATTTTTGTTGCTACGCTAAAAGAATCATTCAATTTCTATTCCAAATAGTGATAACATTCGACCAGGTTTTATAGCATTAAGTATTTTTATTGTATTTGTACTTCTAGTTTTATTACTAAGATGCTTCTACATTAATGTTATCATCTCACTTTAAAAAAAATGCATTCTTCTCTCTCATTAAAATGGAATAAAATGACAATCTTGTTAGCAATAATTTTTTTTTAAATCATCATTTTCTAATTATAATGATTATTAGCCAGTACAAGTCATCACTGCTAAGAGATATTGAAGCATTGATGATGAAATATGGCCAGCATAGTGCTTGTTCTTTCGGTTCATATTTATTATAGTATACTAGAGGTAAGTGCTAAAAATGCTTATCAGGAGGGATGGTTGGATTCATGCCTTTGTTTAATGCAAACATGCAGAAATTGAACAAATGACTCCAAGCAAGATATGAACTTTTTGAACATTTTTTCTTCTTCTTCTTCTTAGTTGCTGCCGATTGTAACAATTGTTCTTCAACACATATGCTAATCATCTTTTTGTCTTCTTCACAATATGAAAACTTG